CTTTCACCTTGGGTCTAGCACAAGACTCAGTCTTAATTGGCATCAAATGCTGACTGAATTGCATTGCATTTTCAAAGATGGTGGATTTCAGGAGTACTGTTTTGGGTCACTAATATCTTTTCCTTAAATCATACACAAAAAATTGGTGTTTAGTAAAGATTGATAGTTTTTTCTCACCTCCATTCCTTTCCAAGCATGATAGTTACTTAATGTGTGAAAATAAATTTATTGACTAAAATGAATTTGCATGAAATTTCCAAAGAAGTGTATTTGAAGATTGTTTGGGAGGAGCAGGGTCTGGTGGCATATGCCAGTAATCCCAACAACTAGGGAGGTTGAGGCAGGAGAATTGCAAGTTTGAGGCCAGCCTCAGCAACTCAGTGAGACCCTCAACAATTTAGCAAGACCATGTCTCAAAATAAAAAATGAAAAGGGTTGGGGATGTAGCTCACCAATAAAGCACCCCTAAGTTCAATTCTTAGGATGATGATGATGATAATAATAATAATAATAATAATAATAATAATAATAATAATAAATAAATAAAAGAAGAACAACAACCACTATCACCACCACCACCACCACCACAACCATTTGGGGGGCTAGGGATGTAGCTGAGTGGTAGAGTGCTTGCCTATCATGTGTGAGGCTGATCTTCAGAAGCAGCAGCAGCAGCAGCAGCAGCACCCCCACCCTACCCCCACAACAAAGACTTTCAAAGGAAAAACTGAGGGCTCAGAAAAATGCTCTGGCACTCTTCAAGAGCATTCCAGAGCTAGGCTGCCACCAAAGATGTTCTAGTTTGTAAGGAGTGATGAATCATTTGTCTTTTCACACATCCATAACAAAGGCCTTGAGATCCCGAACCCTCTCTTTTATCCTTGCAGTTTCTCTCCCCAGGTGGGAAAATTTAAGTGTGTGAAATTAGAGAAACAGATGCATAACTGTAAGAAGGCAGGTGTGGCACACACCTCGGGGAAACTGAGGCAGGAGGCTTGCAAGTTTGAGGCCAGCCTCAGCAACTTAGTGAGACCCTCAACAATTTAGCTGTCTCCAAAAATAAAAAAGGGCTGAAGATGTAGCTCAGTGTAGGTAGAGTACTCCTAGGTTCAATCCCCAGTCTCTCACACACACACACACACACACTAACAGTTCCAGAAGGCTGGACAAACAACAGGACTGGTAATTTCACCCTCCCAGTGATTATAGTTATTGTGTTTAGGAAGAAACTCCTCCCTTCCTTCCCTCATCAACTCCTCCCTCCTACTGCCCCCATTACTGTCCTCACTATTTTTGTAAGGCCAAAAAACCTCTAGAAATGGAATTTCCTTCCCTTTAGCAATCAAAAGTAAACATTCTTAAGGTCTACAATATGACCTGTTTTTCCTTGATAACTCTCTTTAATAATTTCAGTCCTTGGGTTTAGAGGTGGGTGCTGGGAATCTTATCCAGCCTACATAATTAGGAACAATCGGGACTCATTTTAAGGCCAATATCCTTTCACTCCTACCTTCAGAATCAAGATTTTAGAATGGTAGGAAGCGTTGACAGATTCTCTAACAAACTCTTTCACTGTAAAGATAAAGAATTAAGGCTCACAGTCCTCATTGCAGTGATAGGCACCTAGTAGGTACTCAGTAACTATTTACATTTTTGTTCCTGGCTTAAATTGTTCAAAATGGCTAGTCCATACTAGAATACAGGGTTCAAAATTTCAAACCACTTTCTTTCTACTCTATCACATGGAGTTTTGTGTTTCCATTGGCTCTACTCTGAAGACATTACTGCCGTAAATTGTATGTTAGTTTATATACCTATTGCAGTGCTAGGGATTGAACACAGGGCCTCATGTTTGTTAGGCAAGTGCTCTACCACTGAGCTACATCCCCAGCTCCCTTTTAAAATTTTATTTAAAATAGTTTTATTAGATGAAATTTACAAACCATACAGTTCCCCCATTTAATGTATAGTTTTTAATGCCTTTTAGTATATTACAAGAATCGTGTATTCACTACTTCAGACAAGACCAGGCGCATTCAGGGTGGTTTGGTCATAGACTGTATTCACCACTTCAATCAATTTTAGAACATTTTCATTGCCTCAGAAAGAAATCTGATTTCCTCTAGCAGTCATTCCCATTCCCTTCATCCCACCCTCTCTTGTCCCTCGATTCTCAGTAACCACTAATTTACTTTCTTTTCTTTTTTTGTACTAGGGATTGAACCCAGAGGCATTTAACCACGGAGCCACAACCCTAGCTCTTTTTATGTTGAGACAGGGTCTCACCAAGTTGCTTAGGGAGCTGCCAAATTGCTGAGACTGACTTTGAATTTATATTCCCCTGCCTCCACCTCCTCAGCCTCTGGGATTATTAGAATGCACCACTGCACATGGCTGTTTTTTTTTTTTTTTTGTTGTTGTTTGTTTGTTTGTTTAAATTAGCACTTTACAGTTATACACAGTATCTTGACAAATTCATATGTGCATGAAATTAAATTTCAGTTCATGATCTCTGCCTATCTTTAACCTCTCCCAACCCCACTTATTTACTATCTCTATAAGTTTGGCTATTCTTGAACATTTCATATAAATGGGACCATATAATAATATGATCTTTTGTGACTAGCTCTTTTCACTTAGCATGTTTTGACGTTTCATCCATGTTATCATACGTACTTTTTATTGCTGAATGATATTCCATTATATACATAGAGCACATTTTATTTATCCATTTGCCAGTTGATGGATATTTAGCTGAATTTAATTAATTAATTAATTTACAGGGTTGGGGATCAAACCTAGGGCCTTACACATGCTACTGCTAATTCTGTCACTGAGTTATATATTCCCAATGCTGTATTGAATTTAAAGCAATTAAATTACTGGTTACTGATAGCTACTGATGCCTAAAACCAAGACATAAATATAGATCTCATATCTATGTTGAATTTATACCTAAAGAAGTATATTTTATGAAGACTTAATTATAACCAAATACCTGAAAATCAACATATATTTTTTTCCTCTAAATTTCCTGATATGCATGATAATATTGTGGAAAGATAAAGACTTGCCTTAAGTTTTCCTGCTCTTCTAACTCCTAGGAAAATAGAAGCACCTATATAGATAGATTGCTTGAGTGAGAGCTCTCAGGAAGAGAAGAGAAAATTAAAAGAAACTCAGCAAGACTTTTTCTGGCTTTCAAACGAGAGGTCAAATCCTGGTATGGTGGACCACGCCTGTAATCCCAGTGACTGGGGAGGCTGGGGAGCAGGAGGATAGCAAGTTCCGCACTAGCCTGGGGCAACTTAGTGGGACCATGTCTTAAAAAAATAAAAAGGATTGGAGATGTAGAGCAGTGGTAGAGTGTGCCTGGGCTTAATACCCAGAACCAAACCAACCAAAAAAAGAAAAAGCAAAAAGTGAGGTTAAGAAGAGACAGGACATTTGGGGATCACACCCAGTCCAGTGGTTGACATTCCTATATCCCAGACACATAAACAATCTAAGGATGACTGTGGGAGGAGGGAGAGGAAAACAGCACAGGTGCAAATCAGTCATTAAGACTTAAATTTTCATCTCTGTCCTTCTGAACCGATCATTGGCTCTCACCCAACCTCCACACTGTTTGTATTGGTTTCCAAGCGGGTCAAGAATGGGAGACTAGCCGGGCGCAGGGGAGCACATACATAATCCCAATAGAGGCAGAGGCAGGAGGATCGCAAATCCAAAGCCACCCTCAGCAATTTAGAGAGACACTAAACAAGTTGGCAAGACCCTGTCTCCCTTGGGTTCAATCACCTGTACCAAAAAAAGACTTTTGGGGACTAGTTTATGTTTTGGTAGGAAGAAACTGAATTTGTAAATGCCAAATTGAGGATATTATGCCCACAAATCCCTTGTTAACCTAAATCCTTTCTTCCCTCCTATTCTTGGATAAGTTGGGGTTAGAGAACTCCTGAGTCACCTGTGGCAGAGTAAGGGCTTTTATGAGTGTCTTCCGGCCCATTTGCGGATGCCAGCTGAGAACACTGGGAAAGATCCTTGACGCAGCCCGCCCTAGACTTGGGTGTTGTGTCATTCCCTACACGTGATGCTTTCCCAGGCGGCAGCGATCTCACAAATCTTGAGATTTATCCCTCCCACTGACTCCACCCCTTTCCTCCCTAACTTCTCAACCTCTGAATTACCAGCTCCACCCCGCCTCCCATCACTGCCCCCACTGCTTCAAGACCCGGGAAGAGGAAGGTGGTTGGAGACCTAGAATTTCCTCTCCCCAGGTTGGCCGGAGCAGAGAAACCATGTTTGGGAAAATGCAAGATGTGGAGTTTCAGTTTTACCCTTTTCCGGAATGCTTTGCATTTCCTGTTTTAGGTTATCCTTACTCTTCCCTACCCCAAACAGTACTACCCTACTTGAAAGCACATTATCACTTGGTAGACTCTTCTATTTATGTCCCCCACCCCCCCACCCCCCCCCACACACACACACACACTTTTCTGAGTCCGGAATTCCCAATTAGAACTAGTTTCAGTTCCGGCTCGGCCTCTTTCCTAGCTACGTACGTAACCTTGAGTGAACCACAACTTTTCTGGGCCTACTTTGTCTGTAAAAAGGAGGCCAAACATCTCAAGCACTTCGCCGGTTGTGATGATTAAATGAGAAAGCGCCTGGGGACTATGAAAAAGCAATAGAAATGTTAGCTACGTTTGTCCTGGTGGGCTAGTCTCTCTTTCAGAACCCCTCCCTTTCCTTTGGGATGGCCTTGCGAATCCTGCCTCGGTTCGCAACGCTTCCCGTGGGCGTCGCACCAGTAGCTTGGCGCTGGGTATTGACGCCACGGCCTTCCTCCGGCGCACGCTGACGCATAGCTCCGCCCCCGGCCGCGCCTGGCCTCCCGTGGGGCCCCGCCCACCGGGCATTCGCGGCGTCGGCCCCGCCTCGAGGGTGACGTGTAGGGCGCGCGGCCGGGCCGCCCCGGCAGTTGGTGCAGCGGCGGTTGGGGTGAGTGTGCTCACCCCACCCCTCCCCTCCTCCCGCCCCGGCCCCCACCCCGCCTGGCCCAGCCCTAGCCTTAGCCGGGCCCGTCCCGTGCGGGCCCGTGCCGTCCCTCAGCCGGCGACGCCCCGGGCCGCCCGCCTGCCCACCACCATGGAGCTGGAGGACGGTGTGGTGTACCAGGAGGAGCCCGGCGGCTCCGGGGCCGTGATGTCGGAGCGGGTGTCCGGCCTGGCCGGCTCCATCTACCGCGAGTTCGAGCGGCTCATCGGGCGCTACGACGAAGAGGTGGTCAAGGAGCTGATGCCACTGGTGGTGGCGGTGCTGGAGAACCTGGACTCAGTGTTCGCGCAGGACCAGGAACACCAGGTGGAGCTGGAGCTGCTGCGGGACGACAACGAGCAGCTCATCACCCAGTACGAGCGGGAGAAGGCGCTGCGCAAGCACGCCGAGGAGGTGAGGGCTGGCGGGCTACTAGGGTACGGGACCGGGGGTCGCGGCCGGCCTGGGGACGTGAGGCGCGCCGGGCCTCCTGGAGGACGGGCCTGAGGCGAGGCCTCCGGCGCCGAGCCCAGACGCCTTGTTCGCCCCTGAGGCTCGCCGGCGTTGGAAGCCGGGGCAAGGCCAGTGAGTGTTCAGGAAAGGAGTGAGGTGGAAGGCAGGACCCAGAGAGGAAGCGACAGCCTGGCATGAGGACACCTGGGGTTGGCAAGGGCGGAGTCTTTAGGGTGTCTGGTTGCTCCTTGGTGTTTAGGGAAGTTTCCAACCACCGTAGGATGGTCGGACGGCGGCTCAAACTTTTACTGTTGGGGAGGAGGATTACTTCTGTCTTGATATGTAACTTCCGCTGGCTCCAGTACCTTTCCAGGGGGTTGCTGCTGCTTTGGGAAGTTAGAGATCTCCCTCTTTCGGTCAGTTGCTTCTTGACATTTTAATCCATTTGAGAAAGCGATTTTATGTCCTATGTGACATTCTTAACACTTTGTCAACATTTAAATGTTGTATTGCAGTGCTCAATAAATAGGTAGTGTGCGCTGTTTTATTTTATTGGTATCCCACACGAAAGCATTCCTCCATATCAGGTGGTAACCTTGGACAGTTCCCTTCAAAAGCTCTCTGTTTATTTATAAGAGGACTGGGGGGCGGGGTTGAGGAGGTGTGGGTGACAGTTGGCAACACTTTTCCTGTCTTGAATTTGCTTCTCAAACTGCAGTTTACAGGTGCACTTGGCCGGCTGTTAACTGGAGCATCTGAGTGGTGACCTCTGTGCTCTCACTTGCAATCTGTGAACCTTTTGGAGCTCTGAAGTGCAAGTGATATGTACTTGAGTCCAAGATTTTAGTTTTCAGGCTGTGTTGTCATTATTTCTGTGGAACTTTTATCTAAAGCAGGCAGTGTCCTAATTGTCTTTGTTTCCCCAAGCATCTAGCATAACTGGCTAAATGCTCGGTGACTGAAAGAGGCTAAATAGTTATTGAAGGAACTATGTGTTATTTTTCAGAAATACTTGAAAAGTTTTTAGGATGTGAGATTGTTCAGTAGCTCATTTCCTAATGTTAAATAGTGCCATCAGTTAAACTTTTTGTTTTGTTTCATCACATATATCTTTGCACCTAGTTGCTTTTAGTTTGATTATAGTGACAATTTTTAGTTGTTATGATTTTGAGATCCATTTATCTCAAAGGAATGTCATTGAATTTTCCAAACAATGGAAATGGCTTTATTTCAGGAATATTTCTAAATATATAGGGAGGGCACGGTTGAAAGTACAAATGACAATGGGATCACAATTTCCACTAGTTTATTAGCACTGTTTATAGAATAGAGGTTTCTGAGCTGGCTTGCCACTTCTTCATGCTCATACAGGCCAGTATGTTGATTGTACATGGAAGAAACTGGGCAATTAACCACATGTACATACAGGTGAGGAGCAGACTCAGCATGATCTATCAGGCCCAGCATCATCTGTCACCTCTGGTAAAAGAAATACTCCCTCCAGCCTTAAACTCCTGTCATTCCATGTAAACATGGGCAAAATGCCAAGGTCACACGTGCCAGGAAAACTCTGCTACAGGTTACAGAATCAGAAAATAAAATTGACCAGCTGGTAGGCTTTGGGTTTTATATTAATTTCTTAAGTAAACAACCTTTTTTTTTTTTTTTTTTTTTCTTTGGTACTGAGGATTTGAACCCAGGGACACTTTACCAGTGAACTGCATCCCAGCCCTTTTTATTATTTTTTTATTTTATTTTTTGGGGAGTACCAGGGGTTGAACTCAGGGGCACTCAACCACTGAGCCACATCCCCAGCCCTATTTGCATTTTATTTAGAGACAGGGTCTCACTGAGTTGCTCAGTTTTTCCCTATTGCAGAGGCTGTGTTTGAACTCCTGATTCTCCTGCCTCACCCACATGAGCCACTGGAATTACAGGCGTGTATCACCATGCCTGGGTCCTTTTTGTTTTTTTTATTTCAAGACAGGGTTTTAATAAATTGCTGAGGCTGGCCTGGAACTTGTGATCCTCCTGCCTCAGCCTTCTTAGTCTCTGGGATTACAGGCATGCACCAACCCAGCTTAAGTAGACAACTTTTTAAAAGTAGGTTATCCCATGACTTCTTTTGTAGTTTATATTTTTTCAGTCACATATGTAAAATCCCCATAATGAAACCTTTGGGCAAAGGATCATGACTGGAGAACACTGATGAAATAATGTTAGATGAGCCAACTCCCAGACCACAAACCTAAAACCATTTCATTATCAGCCTTCATCTTAAATCAGAAGACTTAAAACAAATTTTGCCTACATCTAGAAATTCAATCTCTTAGGTCAATATGCAGAGTTAATTTTGTTTAATTTCCTGTTTTGTGCCTTTAACATGAAGAGTAAGAGTCTACTATTACAGCAAAAAGTGCCTCAGGGTATTTACAGCAAAAGTAATTTGAAAACATAGAAATTGTCCATCACAAGAGTGTAAAATAAATTCTGAGCACCTTTGTGTAAATTTAGGAGCATATATAAATGGTAAGAATGTTTTAGGAGCTTGTGAGGTGCAATAGTCATTTGCTTACAGGAATTGTTAACAAGGAGTCAAAAGTTTAATCTTTATTATAATGATAGGACTTCAGTTGAAGACACACTTGTTTTTCTTTGCTTTTGTTTGAATTTTTGTGTGTGTGTCAGTTGCTGTTTTAATGAGTCGTAAGAACTTCCCAGGGGTTGGGGGATGTAGCTTTGTGGCAGAGTGCATGCTAGGCACTCTGGGTTTAAGCAAAGCATCACAAAACAAAACAAAACAAAAACACAAAAATAACCCAAACACCTAAAGGAGGACTGATTTTTAGATAGATTTAGACTAGTTTCAAATGTTAATCAAGTAATTGGCCATATTTTCTCCCTCTCTGGGCTCCCTGCCACATTATCTTTCCATTCCTTATTCAAACCCTGTCATATGCCTTTGCCCATGCTGCTTCCTGCCCCAAAATGCTCTTCCCTCAGAGCTTCACCTGGAATATTATTACATCTTTATTTATTCACTGAAATCTTAAGATTTAGAGAGCTCGAAGTACATTCTAGTGCTTTGTTGATTTCTGTATTACCTACCTTATTTCGTATGTAAAACTAATACATTTTAAAACATACTTCATTTTTCAAAATGTCATTGTTCTTGCTGAATCATTTGAACTAGCTTCACACTGGCTCCAGTCAGAATAGATGTGCCCCTGCCCCTAGTTTATCCTTATTTTCTGAAGTGAACTCAGTTTTGAAGGGGTGTATGTGCACATGCTTGGTGATTACCTTTTGAAATGATAATCAGTTAACCATTTTTAAAAAATATTTTTTTAGTTTTTTTTTTTTTTTTTGTGGACAAACAATATCTTTATTTTATTTTTATGTGATGCTGAGGATCAAACCCAGTGCCTCATGCATGGTAGGCGAGCACTCCACCACTAAGCCACAACCCAAGACCCAGTTAACCATTTTTTAATTCTTAAGATAGATCCTTTTTTTTTTTTTAATAGGTGATCTTGACATTTCATACATTAATTAGGATAGATATTATTATTATTATTATTATTTTTGTGTGTGTATGGTGCTGGGGATCGAACCCAAGGCCTTGTACATGCAAGGCAAGCACCCTAACAACTGAGCTATATCCCTAACCCCTTATTATTTCTTAACCTTAAGAAAGCTATGGTTATTGATATTAAGGGAGATACCATTATATGAGATTCACATTTTGACTTAGTTAAGATCACAAAAGAGAATACAAAATTGGGTATGCTACCAACTGGGCCCAGGACTTCTAGTCAGAAGGTAGATAAATATAGGACAATTCATGAGATTGCCAGAGTGTGTACTATAGGTCACTCATTCAGTTCTGTGTTTAAGGGACTAGGAGGTTCCAAGCTTGGTGGTGCATGCTTGTAATCCCAGCAACTCAGAAGTTGAGGCACACGTTCAAGGTCACCATAAGCAATTTAACCAGACCTTGTGTCAAAATAAGAAATAAAAAGGCTGGGGGCTGGGGTTGTGACTCAGGGGTAAAATGCTCACCTAACACACAAGGCCCTTGGTTCAATCCTTAGCACCACATATAAATAAATAAGGGTATTGCATCCAACTACAACTAAAAAATACACATTATTTATTTATTTATTTTTGGGTGGTGCTGGGGATTGAACCCAGGGCCTTGTGCATACAAGGCAAGCACTCTACCAACTGAGCTATATCCCCAGCCCACCAAAAATAAATATTTAAAAAGAAAAAAAAAAGAAATAAAAAGGTTGGAAATGTAGCTTAGTAGTAAAGTGCTTCTGGGTTCAGTCTTTAGCGTACATGTCACATACTCAAATACTGGGAGGTTTCTACTTTCTGGAATCTTAAGTTTACCTTTAACTATAGGCTGCATACTTAAGGTTTGGAGGAGAACTGGTATTAGAACCTAGCCAGTTGTATTTTTTTGTTCTGTTGACTAATGGCTGAGTTATTTTGAAAACACCTTTTTTCTTTGCTCAGCACACATAATGAATACAGCTGTTACCAAAATAATTAGGCTGAGATCAGAAATATCCAATATTGGGCTGGGGATGTGGCTCAAGCCGTAGCGTGCTCGCCTGGCATGCGTGCGGCCCAGGTTCGATCCTCAGCACCACATACAAATAAAGATGTTGTGTCTGCCGAAAACTAAAAAATAAATATTAAAAAAAAAATTAAAAAGAAAGAAATATCCAATATAGACCCAGTTTAATAATTTATGTAACATATATATTTAAAAAGCTGATATTCACAAATATGTTTGTAAATTATATTTTGTATTTTGAAATCTTGGCCAGTAACATTTAATTATTGGTTTGAAAATAGCACTGTATTTTATTTTCTGTTTAATTTCCTATTTCACATCCTAGGCAAGTGTTTTACCACTGAGCTACATCCCCATCCCTTTTTTTTGAGAC